TATTCTTTGTATTTCTTGTAGAATTCTGCAGTGAATCTGTCTGGGCCTGGGATCTTCTTTGTAGGTAAGGACTTAATTACATTTTCAATTTCATTAATAGAAATTGGGTTATTCAGCAGTTTTACATCCTCTTGACCTAGCTTTGGTACTTCATATGTTTCTAGGAATCTGTCTATTTCTTCTGTGTTATCAAACCTTTGAGAGTAGAGGTTTTCGAAATAGAAATAGGTGATTCTTTGGATTGTTTTCTTAGTGTCTATTGCATTGATTTCTGCTCTGATTTTTATAATTTCCTCTCTTCTTTTGGCTTTGGGCTTGGCTTGCTCTTCTTTTTCTAGCTGTTTGAGGTGTAGCATCAGGTTATTTATTTGTATTCATTCTGTTTTCCTGATGTGGGAACTCAGTGCAATAAATTTTCCTTTGAGGACAGCTTTCATTGCATTCCACAGATTCCAGTAAGTTGTATTTTCATTTTCTTGTAGTTATTGTTTAATTTCTTCTTTAATTTCCTCTGTGACCCCCTGATTACTCAAGAATGTGTTATTCAGTTTCCATGTGTTTGTGGGATTTTTGCAGTATCTTTTATCATTAATTTCTAATTTAAAAGTGCTATGATCAAATAACTTGCAAGGGATAATTTCAGCTCTTTTGCATTTATTTAAATATGTTCTGTGAGCTAATATATGGTCTATTTTAGAGAATGAGCCATGTACTGCTGAGAAGAATGTGTATTCTGATGTTGTTGGATGGAACACTCTGTATATGTCTAGCAAGTCCCTTTGTTCACAGGCAGGTGTGATTCGGTTCTGTTATTTCTTTGCTGATTTTCTGTCTGGTTGATCTGTCCCTTGGTGTCAATGGTGTGTTAAGGTCTCCTGTTACAATTGTGTTACTGATAATTTGATTTTTCATTTCTGTTAATACTTGTTTTATATAACTGGGTGCTCTGGAATTTGGGGCATATATATTTAAGATAGTTATCTCTTCCTCTTGAAGTTTTCCCCTAACAAGTATGTAGTGACCTTCTTTATCTCTTCTGATCATTATTGGTTTAAAGTTCACATTGTCTGCAAACAGAATGGCTACTCCTGCTTTTTTGGGGGTTCCTGTTGTGTGAAGTATTGTTTTCTATCCTTTGACTTTCAGTCTGTGAGTATCCTTTTGAGTTAGATGGGTTTCTTGTAGACAGCATATGGTTGGATTTTGTTTCTTGATCCATTCTGCCAGTCTGTTTTTTTAATTGGTGCATTGAGACCATTTACATTAATGGTTATAACTTTTGTATGTTGGTTTATTGTTGAAATGTTATCTTTCTGCTGTTGCATCTTTATCTTTCTGTTCTGTTTAATTATCTGCTTTGGTTAGTGGTTTTTTCCTAAGTGTATCTAAACTGTCTTTCAATATTTTTTTCAGGGTTGACTTGGTGATCATGAAGTTCCTCAGCTGCTCTTTGTCATGGAAGTATCTTATTTCACCATTGATTTTGAAGGACAGTTTTTCAGGGTATATCAGTCTCGGTTGGAAATGATTTTCCTTTAGGATCTGGAATACTTCACTCCATGCTCTTCTTGACTTCATTGTTTGTGCTGAGAAGTCTGCTGTGATTCTAATAGGTTTTCCTTTATAAGTGATCTGTCTTTTCTCTCTGACAACTTTTATTATTCTATTCTTGTGTTGAATATCTGGGATGGTGATTATTATATGTCTGGGTGTAGTTTTATTTTGGTTATGACTGTTTGGAGTTCTATATGCTTCACTGATCCTGATGTCGGTTTCTGATCTCATGTTTGGGAAATTTTCAGCTATTACTTCTCTAAATATCCTCTTGATGTCCTTTATGTCGTCCTCTTCTTTTTCATTAATCCCTGACAATCTTATGTTGTTTTTCTTTGCGTCATCTTGCAGTTATTGAATTGTTATTTCCGGATTTATTGTTATTTTTAAAAGATGTTTCCTTTCCTGTTCACTAGCTGCATCTTGTCTTCAAGGTCTGAAATTCTATCTTTACTTTCATTGAGGCAGTTTTTACAGCTTTCAGTGGAATTTTTGATTTCCTGTATATCTCTGTGCATCTGCTTTATGTATTCTGTTTGTTTCTTATATTGTTCATCTAGGGATTCTTTCTTTTTATTTAGTTCCTCCTATTTTTTAACTATGTTTTCGTTAGATATATTCAGCTTCCCTTTCATTTCTTTTATCATTTTGTCTTTTACCTGGGAGATTATTTCTAGCTTGAATTCCTTTAAAGCTTCCTGGAGTTGCTTGTTTATTTCAGTTGCTATCATGTCCGATATTTGAGGTGTATGGCATATATTTTCTTCTATATACATCACTCCTAATGTTTCTTTGGATGGGCTGGAGGTTTGAGATTGTAATTTGGTCTTTCGTTTTGTCATTTTCCTATATTTCTGTGTTTCAAGTGTTATTCTAAGGCTTCCTCAGGGTCTGTAGGAAATCCTGTTCTATGCCCTCAGCTCCTGGGACTCTGGTACCCAGTTCCCCCAGGCCGCTGACCCTCTGAAACTGGTGACACTCACCTGCTTGCTTAGAACTCCACGGTCTTCCAAGCACAGCTGGGAACAGGGAGGTGGATGTAGGCGCCCCAGACCCGCTGAGCTGTTCCAGTGCACCCAGAAGGCGTGAGAGTCCCAAACAAGCTGGCCTCAGGGGGAAAGTGTGCAGGGCACTTACCCCAGGATGCCGGGCCTCTGGAACCAGTGGTGCTCGCCTGCTTGCTTAGAACTCCACAGTCCTCCAAGCACAGCCGGGAGCAGGGGAGATGAAGCAGGCACCTCAGATCCACCGAGATGTTCCAGTCTTATGGATATTTTTGATGTACAGTTACCACACAAATAGTAATTATATATATATATACATATATATTTGGTACTGAGGATCGAACTCGTGACCACGCCCTTGCAAGGCATGTGTGTTTATGCTGCTGAGCTAAATCCCCGGCCCTAATTATACTTCTTTAAGTATTACCTTTAGGCTGGGGATGGAGCTCAGTGGTAGAATATTTGCCTACATGAGTGAGGCTCTAGGTTCAGTCTTTAGCATTGCACTAGCATGAGTAAGGCTCTAGGTTCAGTCGTTAGTATTGCAAATATATATGTATAATCTTACTTAGTTTTATTGTGTAATTAGAGTAGCTAACCACTGTAAAATAAGATTTGTAGTAAGCAAAGTTTTCTTCCATATTTCTAACTTTAGTGGGAATGCTTGTATTTGTCATCATTGTACATTAGCTTTTAATTATATGTAGATCACTGCCCGGTAACATCTATCTTATTTTAGTGTTAAATTTAAAAACAGTGGTTGCTGTTGTTGTTTTAGCTCTGCTGCCTAAGAGTTCCTATATCTACTAAAATTAAGTGTAGTGACCTGTTGCAGTAAACAGATCATATCCCAAAGGAAACAAGGGACATCTTATCAATGGACAAGCCAAGATTCTCCAGTATCTGGGATAATGGAAGAATTGAGGTAAATATTAAATAGGGTAGAGCTCTGGTGAACTTAGAGCAAAGCACAGTTGGTTCACATTAGGCCTTACTGTAAAGCAGACCTAGGGTCTTGTTTCCTCAGATTCTGGAAAGTTAAGAGAGGTGTGGATTGTTGTGTACAGAAATGTCCTAGCTTCAGTTTTGTATCAAAATGTAAATTGAGGCTGTGGTAGGAGTTACTAAAGAAAGGGGCCACCCATGGAATTATTTACAAGGCAAAATTATCAAATTTGATGACTTTGGATGTAGGCTGAAGGAAAACAGTGAATTGATATTTGATACCTCCATTTATGGCATGAATAATTGGGTAGTTGATCATGTCTTCAGCTGACATAAAATACACTATAACAGTAGTTGATTTAAGGAAGTCAGAGAGGAAAAGCAGAATGATTCCCCTTAGTTTTTTGGTTTGGTTTGCTTTGGTTTTTGCAGTGGTTGGATTGAACTGAAGCTTTGCATATACTACATAAGTGGTCTACCACTAAGATATAACCCCACTCCCAGTTTTTTATTTATTGGGGTTCTGACTGCTATAAAACTCCGCAGGATAGACCTGTGGTTGACAGGAGATATCAGTGTGGAGATGCTCGAGGCTGGGATCAAAACTATCAATATGGATGCCCAGAAGCTATTAGCTTGGCTAAAGAAAGGCCTGGAAAGTCAGAGGAGCACTAGATTCAGAGAAGAACTCCAGAAGATTCCCGCAAGCTTTTCCAGGCTGCTATGATGAGCCCACAGTAAAGGCCATACATAAACAAAAAGTGATAGGAATCAAAGCAGAGCGCTGCTCTGGAAAAGCAGCTAAAGAAAAGAATTCTAAGGTAGAAGCGGCAGCCAGTCGTTTCAGGAACAGGCTCAAGCATGAAAGAAGTAAGCTGGTTGAGCAGTTGGCAGGTGGGTGGTGACTCTTGTGAGGGTAAGTAATGTCAGGGAAGTGGACAGAACAAAAGACTGGTGCTCTGTGTTCAGATGATTATAATAAACAACATAGCAAAGCAAAGGAACCTAACAGGAAGCTGGGTTGAAAAGGCAGGAGACAAGACAGAAATGACAGTGGCATCAGGCTAAGGGATGATTTCTAGCAGAGGAAATTTCAATTTCACTTTTTCTAACTGGTTAGAATCAGGATCTTGACTATGCTAGTTGCTCTTTATTAAAAATATCAAAATAACCATTTGTCTTCTGTGGCCTTTTCCTGTACTCACTAGACACTTGATCTTTGTGACACTCACCATCTTTCTTCCTGCCGCTTCCTTGGCAACACACACACATGCACACGCACACGCACACGCACACACTCATTTGATTCCATTATGACCACACAGACTCTTCCAAAACGTTGCTCTTTGGGTTAGACTCAGGTTGTGTTGCTGGGGCACCACACAGAGCTGCAGAGAAAGACTGAATCTTGAACTCAGGAGGAGGGTCCCAACTACACACATATTTAATCAGATAGGAAAAAAGACATGCTTAGAAATGAAGGAAGTTTTTGAAATATAAAATTCAACAGTAATTTTTATTGTGTGTCCTATGCATTTGCCAACACAGAGTTTGAAGACAGTGTTGGCACAAACTCCTCAGGGCAACAAGGCTGGGAGAAGCCTGGAGGTCACCTGAACTCCCATCTCCTTTGCAGTGGCAGCTCCATCTCTTAGATTTTAAAGTCTGTGGAAAGTGCAGGCTTCCAGGAGTCCTGTAGAGTAGAGAAGTAGGACAATGAAAATGTGCTTACATTGACTTGTGAACTGTTGAGTAAATGGACAGTTACACATAGTACCAAAGCATTTAGACTGGTTGCCCTGCACTTCTGGCGAATGGACTGGACATTCTCTCAGTGCTCATGTCCACTTTCCTATAATAGCTTTGTCCCTCACCGGGGAAGACCCCACACTGGGATTGTAAGGACAGTGACATGATTTCCCTGCCTCTCCAGTGTTCCCCTACTTTATTTCTCATGGATGCAGCTCACACACCTGAATTCACATGGTTGGAAGTTGCCAAGGAAGACTGTCCTCCCAGATCTCTTTAGGCAGGTGAGAAACTAACATAGCAAGAAGCACCTGCCAGACTTTGTGCTGAAGGTGAGGGACATGGCAGAGAACAGTAGGCCCAGACTCTTTCCCTTTGTGGACGATATGACTTGGGTCAATATTGACTTTGGTGTTCCAACAATGGCCCTAGACAAGCACATTGCTTACAACAGGATTAAACGAGTCAATTTTTTAAGTACAGTTATCAGCCTGAGCTGTCACGGACTTGCTGAATCACTGTCTCCAGAGCCTGGGAATCAGCATGCTTAATTAGAACCAAGACTCCCTTATCTGTTCACTACAGTTATTGAATAACTTGCTCAAACAAGTGACTCCCCCACATCTCCCAAGTGCTTTCCAGTGAATTCATTATTCCCAGCGCAGTTATACCTCCACTGTGTGCCCTATTCAGTTCCTCAAATCTAGTATTCCAGGTGAGTAGTATCCTTGGCAACTTTATAGTTACCAGAGCTTAGTATTGTTGAAGCTCTCTAGAGAAACACTGTCTGAAAGAACTTTTTCTGCTGATACTTTTTTGGTCACCAGTATGGACCTGTGTGTGGCTCCTGAACTCAGCATGTGACTGGGTGACTAAGGAAATAAAAATTTTTCAACTTTAGGTAGCCATATTTTTCTAGTGGCTATCATACTGGAGAAGGTAATGCTAATAAAAAGTTTGCCTCAAAGCAATGTTTATGTGAATATAAACCCTTCATTTGCTTAGAAATAAGATGGATTTCTGCATGTCCAGTAAGTTCAGTACATTCATCCTGTGGATCTGAGTTCCCCTCACTCTCTTCAGGCTAGCCACACAGGCTAGGCTATCGTATGTGCAGGTCTAGGTTAGGCTGCCCTTTTGCTGATTCATCTTGCCCATGTGACCATGTCCTGCGTCACAGCCTACTTCTCCTTTGCACTCATTACCCAGAACTCACCACTGCATTTTGATTCCAAATTCCCCGCACTGTGTTTCTGCTACTCACGTGAGGTGGAGCATTTTCTCAGATTACGGACAGCATTGATGTACTCCTCTCCTAAGTACTTCTCAGGTGTGACATTATCCTCAATTCTGATCAAACATTTTGTATCATCCCTGAACAGGAGGTCCTTGGTTTGAGATTTGAACAAACAGAACTTGCTTGTGCAGTCAGATACGTGACTTCCAAACAGAATCTGCCAAATGAACAGAAAGTGAGTGAAAACCTGTGGCCCTGAGCAGCTGAGGACCTGTATCAGAGGCTTTAAACCGAACCAGCGCTGAGAACCTTAAAGCAAGAAAAGCTAGAGTATTCTTTCTACCTCCCTCGCCTGCCATTCACCCACTTGAAGTCCAATTGCATGGTTTCATGATGCCCAGAAGTGCTCTGTGGTGGCCTCTGTCCTGTTTTCCTCTGAGAACATCCTCTTTCCCACCTATCACTTCTCTCTCTCTCTCCTTTCATTTGATGAGAATGACAAACTTCATGGGAAACTGAAAAATGAGAAGAATGAGCTGCGTTCCTGGTAAAGTATATAAAGAATATATAGTTGTATACTCAAAAGTTGTCATAAAACATTACAGCCCACTAGGCGAAGGCATCAACCAAAAAGAACCAAAAATTAACTAATTTGAGGAAGATCAGTCTGAAAATATTCTAATGTTATGATCTCCAAAATAACTTCCACAATGATGGAACCATTCCTTATCTCTGTACTACCCAAATTGGAAAGTACTAGCCATATGAATTCTTGAAACGTGGTAAAGGCGATCAAAGACATGAACTTTTAAATGTAATTTAAAGAGTGGCTGCTTATTGAATTGTATGGTTCTAATGCTTCATGAGTCCAAAACCAGTGGCTTCTTTCAGAGGACTTCACCAACACCATGAAGGCATTGAGGATCAGGTATGAAAAGAGAAGAATAGATTAATAATTTATCTGGCCACTTAAGATCAGAGATTCTCCACAGTTTTGGAGCCAGGCTGGCACAACCCACTGCTTGGAAGAGAAGGACTCTTGGGTAAAATTCAGAGAGTATGCCCTTCCAACTCTCACCTAATGATGAAGTAAAAGGCCTAGGATTTTGGTCACTCAGGAAGATACTTACAGTTACAGCAAATCTGAGGTTGTGACCTTCCCTGAGACCATCTATACATAGAAACCATTGCTGTGGGACTGGTGGAGAGTTAGTTCTTTTGTGGATTGGGTTTGCAGAATCAGATGAAGGTTTGGAGGTAGGAAGACCTGAGGAATGATCACCTGCAGCCTGAATAAGCCCTTTCTTTTTTTGAATTAAAAATCGTATATTTGGTTTTAAATACTTTGCTTGGGATCCAGCTTATTCACGAAGGAATTGGTCTCTTTTGTGAGCTTGTCTGTGTTGTAGATAGTTTTACACAAGCTGAAGCACTGTGGGCTAATGCCATAGCAGTGACAGCACACCAACACTGAGACAGACCCAGGGGGGTGGCAGTGGGTAACAACAGGCTGTAATAGTATCTGTGAGAAAATAGCAATATAACACTTGGTCCCCAACTAGATCTGTGTCTTGTGCTAATGCTGGCTTCCCAGTTTTGCAGGGAAGGCACGTCTTCCTATTCCTATTGTGTGAATCCCATTCAAATGTCACCTTCGAAGGGTCAAAATAAAACTTCTCTGGCTGGTCCTTACTGCTTTCATATGTACCACTCTCCAGGCCTACCCGCGTTGCACAACTGGGAAGAGAATACATGGAAGACGGGTTGAGGTGAGTTACTTTTGAGATGTGCTTTTAACTGTCATACTGTCCCATGCAGTGATATGTTATGTGCTGCTCATCTAGTCTCACACTCCGTCGGTAAACGTTCGTCCTACCCTCGAGCATCATGCAGTTATGTTTTTGCTCCCATGAAGAAATCATGAGGTTCAGCAGGTGCCTCTTTGATGATGGTCAACCCTGTCACACCCGAGGAAGAGTCTAGAATGAGCGTGATGCCCAGGGTCAGCTTCTTGAGGTGTGGCTTGTTGCAGCCCAGCAGCAGGGACGGTGTCTCCTCTATGCCTCACGTCCCTACTTGGCACCCAGACCTAGTCTTAGCACCTTGGGCATTAGAGTTAGGAAGTTAGCCAGGAGCTGGAAGCTATAGTTCTCCATGCCTGAGACCCCAGCAAGGTAGATGGAAACCCCAGCTTGGTTTGGTGGCACCAGCTTATCAGGGTGCCCCTGGGCCTTGTTCCACACCTCTCCTCTCCTCTTGTTTCTTCTCCTCTCCTCTCCCCTTCTTCCCCGCCCCTCCCTTCCCCTCCCTTCCTCTCCCCTCCCTTCTCCTCCTCTCCTCTTTTCTCTTCTTCTCTCCTCTCCTCTTCCCTGCCCTCTCCTCTCCTCTCCTCTCCTCTCCTCTCCTCTCCTCTCCTCTCCTCTCCTCTCCCATTCTTTTAAACAGGGTATCCATAAGCTCCCCAGGCCGGATTTAAACTTGTAATCCTCTTGCCTCGGCCTCTCAGAGTGCTGTGATTACAGGTATGTGACACCCCCACAGCCACTCCTGCTTTTTCTAATCTTTCTTCCCTCTACTCCTTCACTGCTCTTGTCCTTGGGGGCTGCGTATAGGAAACACAAAGACAGTAATATTGTCCCTTCAGATGTTATTGCCAAAGAAGGCATTAACTGTGAGCCTCCCCAGAGGAATAGCAGAGGTGACCGTTAAGTTCGTGTTTGGCTGCCTTTCAAATCCTATCTTGGACCTGCCACTAAACTTCTCCAGGACTCTTAAGGTTGTAAATGAAATGATGAAAGTTCATTAAGTGCTCATATTGTCATCATGTACTTTAAAAAGACTGCTGAAGATATGCTTAGCTTTTAAAGAAAGCTTATGGTGAGCCAACAGATACAATGGTCAGACCCCTATCCTCAGGCTCTTTGAGGCACCACTCAGTCTGCCTTGTAAAAGAAATAGAAATCCACTTTTCAAGGCTTCTATCAAAGATTGCTAGGAAACAGGACCAGTCTTCTTCATTTTGAACAAAGAGCTGGGGGAAATAGTCATAATTCCTAATCAGAATCAAGAGTCAGGAAGACGGTTTTCTGGTCCGGAGGGTTCATCGATCAGGTGGGGATTAATTTCTAGTGACCAAGATACAGAAGCAGAGTCAGGCCTGAGTGACCCTGTTCTATAATTGCAAATGTAGTGCATTTCAAGCCCTTTCTGTAGGCCATACATTGTCCTGTGACCTTTGCATGCATCACTCGCTGAGTCACCACATTAACTGAGAAATGAGTGTAAGTATTATTATTCCTATTTTATATATAAAAACCGAGGCACAGAGAAGTGAGATCATACCTAAGGTAGCACGGCTAGAAAGCTGTGAGGTGAGATTTGAACCCAGATATTCTGGTGTAGTCTCTCTAGCCTCCTAATGCATTTTCAGAAAAGAATCCTGGAGTGAAGGCTGTACTTAGCTGTGAGCTCCCCCAAATAACCTCCACCCACCTAGGAATAAAGGGTGGGAGGCCCTGGCCGGTCCGTACCTGTTGTTCACCTAACACACTGCGAACGAATTCTGCCTTATCTTTCCGGGTGACCACAGCATGATTTGGGACTTGAGCCAGGTGACACTTCTTATACTCTTCCACAGGCTGCCTGGTACCATCAAGGCACAGCAGCTCAAAGTCTTCTGCGCGAAGATTGTTAGCCCACGCAGCAGGGTTGTTTCCTGAGGAGGAGGGGGCAGAGAGGAAGAAGGCGGATCAGCCAGAGGAGATGGCCTCAGTCACTGTGGGACTGCAGAATCTGGGCCCTTTGGCCAGCCGAAGTGGCAGAAGTATGCACATTGGGTTTATGCAATGCGGGGAGGAAGGAACCCTCACCTGGTATAGAAGTAATGCTAAACTCACACCAGCAATTACTAATGACTGTCCCCGCCTGATCTTCCTGGCCAGCCAGGGAAGAGTGAACTTCATTCTGTGGATGTTACTCAAAATGACCTTTCTTTCTATTAAAATCCAGAGCCTTCTGTATTCCTTACTCCCACATAGGAAGAACATAAGGCTCTAAGCCAAGTTTATCAATCTCCACCCTGTAACCTGGCATCTCCAAATGAAATGACATTTCGCAGAGGACAGTTTCAGAATCTGCACCAGCATTTTAAGTGGGACACCTACATTTTAGTTCCAAGTAAAAATGTGTATTTGCCTGTGTGGTATTGTTCTTGTTCTGTGTCAACTTTTTGCTTCGTCTTTTTTATATTCTCTTTGTTAAAAGAAAAACAAAACTCAGCTAACGGGAGTATCAAACCTGTTTTCCAACTTTTATTTCTATCTCATAATGCAAGATTTTTATCTTTTTTTATTTATTTTTAATTAAATTTCCTTTAATTGAACAAGTTATATCTGAGATTATGCTCATAAAAATTTATTTATATAAATAGCCATAGGCATCTAGATGGGTAAAATATTGTTTTTCAATAAAATTAATACAGGTTTATGGCAATTTGTAAACTAAAATTCTTCCTTGCCTATACTCCCAAAATCCCACTCACTTCTAGAGATCTAATTTTTTTTTTAATTTTATTTAAGGAGAAAAGAAAAAAAAAAACAGTGAAAGGGTACAAGTTATACAGATTTACAGAAAAAAAAATGAACAGTAGGAAATCACTAGTTAATGGATTACATATTGCCATCTTAGAAATAATTGTTCAAGTCACAAAATTAAAGCTTGTTGAGTGGACATTCCAACAATGATACTGCAAACAGTTCTGTTCAATGATCCAATAAAACTCTGATTTTTGATATTGCATTTGAGTATTTCCATCCACGCCTTATTATATATGCATCTATCTACATAAACATGCAAGTGATATTACATATTTATATTTGTTCTTAGTTTTAAATCTTAACAAATTTTACTGAGGCAGTAGGAACAGTGGGCCTCTACAGACTGCTGAATAAAAACCAATGTTAACAAATGAGCTACGGCCTAAAGGTAGAATATTAAAAATATTAAATGAAAGATGATTTTCCTCTGAGCTAGAAAGATAGCCATAGGCATCGAGGAGGGTAAAATACTGTTTTTCAAAAAAATTTATACAGGTTTATAGGAATTTGAAAAATGCTGCATAGTATCAGGAAGACATTTTTGAAACATAATTTCACAACACACACTTCAGAATTCATACATTTCTTCCTGTCTTTTTATTACATGTACATACCATATACACACATGTATACGTTATTAAGATTTTTAAAAACATGCTTTTGCACCTGGCTTCTTCTAAGCTATAACATACCATGGCATTTAAGATATATATATATATATATATATATATATATATATATATTTTTTTTTTTTTTTTTTTTACCGGTGATTGAACTCATGACTACGCGCTTGCAAGGCAGACGCTTACGCCGCTGAGCTAAATCCCCAGCCCCAAGACATATGATTTTAAGAGATAACATAAGACATAGACAGATTAAATCTAGTTTTGACTTGCAGGGAGTCTGAAAAGATTATAGGGGCAGAGGCTGAAAGAAGAGGAGTGACCTTTGCGAGGAAGAGGAGGAATTTATGCAAATTAAGTTTGCAATGTCTGTCAGTGTATTCTGTGCATTAAATTAACACCTTAGAGAACAAAAATACTGCAGTGGATGAGCAGTCAGGCTACTTCCTAAATCCTATTTAGGAGGTGAAGATCTTGGGGTCTTTGCAAAGAATAGAGAGTAAAAGCCTAAACATGGAGGGGGTGCATTACTCAGAAAAGTAAGAAAAAAAGACTTAGACATGGAGGGGGTACATTACTCAGAAAAGTAAGAAAAGAAATCAAGGGCCACAAAGACTAAGGTTAAGGTAACATTCTGAATCAGAAAGAAGGAAAGCCCTTAAGGGAAAAGCAAAAATAATACAAAGGAAAAAACGAAAAATCAGTCAACCTGATATTCTTTCAGATAAATTCTTGGCAACAGCTGTATGCCATGTGCTATCCTAGGTGATGGGCATATGACAAAAGGAAACAGAGTCCAGTGGTGTTCTGTGACCAAAGTGTATCATAGGTTAATTTAATAATGCTAGCAACATGGACAGAGGGTTCTCGTTGTAGGACGGGGGGGGGGGGGGGCGGTGCCATGCATGAAGGCTTTTTAGAGAGCCTGGCATTGAGCTACTTTACTCTAGATGAGGCACCCAGGAAGCCTGGGCAGTTGGAGGAACACACCTGCGTGGAGTGGGGAAGTGATTACCTGCTGCACATTAGCGGGTTCACCACAGGAAGACACACTGAGGAGTATGGAGTGCTTATGCTTACCAGTGTTCATGTTTGTTTTGTTTTACTGTCAAGGCCTCCTCACTTTCACTGCCACCAGACCCACTGGTGATTCTTCCCTGAATTGATTATCATCATATTGGTTACCAGATAAAAGTTTTCTAACTCTGCCATTCTGCCTACATTCATTGATTTAGCATTGTCTAAGGAAGAAATTGCCCTTTCTCACTTGTCTAATAGTTATTAGACTTTAAAGCTATCCTGATTTTAATGTTCAAAATTCCCAGATTTGGCAGCAGGAGGTCCTTCAAACTGGCTCCTGAGTGTTTTGCCATCTTTTGTAATTCTTTAGACATGTCAGTTGTGAGTACCACACTATAGATTTTTTCCTGCCCACCCTTGAAATTAGCTTGTTTCCCGAGGATTTCTCATTCCTTTTTCCAGAGAATAGTACGTAGAAGTCATTATCTTGGATGCTCATTTCTACTGGTATGTTGTTATTGCCTCTAGGAATTCTCAGTGGACAGAGCCAGGAAATACATTACACACACACACACACACACACACACACACACACACACACACACTGGTGCTGGGCCATAACCAGGGCCTTATGGATGCAAAGCAAGTGCTCTACTACTGAGCTATATCCCAGGTTCCAGAGCAATGAGAAGAAAAACTACTAAGGTCATTACTGAAATGACTGGAAACCCATAAATGTGTACTGTGCAGTGTTAAATCCAGGTCATGTAAGATTTCCTAATCTTGTACTATAGGTATGTAAAAGAATGTCTTATTCTTGAGAAATAAGCATAGACGTATTAAGGTGCAGGCATAAGATCTGTAGCTGTTTGAGGAGAATTTAGGGCCTTTGAGGACTCCATGGGCCAGATCAGCCTACCCATCTAGGTGAATATTTCTCTCTTCACTGAACGTATCAGTTGAGAATTAGAGCTTTGGAGTCTGACAGTGTGTTATTCTTCTACACAGTCACCCCTAAGTGCCAGTGAATCCTGTTGCCCTGGACATCAGGAGGACAGAGGAACATGTGCACATACCACCAGTGTTCTCTGGGACCGTCAGGTGCTTCACAAAGGCCACATCTCCTCTCTCCACCAGACATCTGCAGAGATCCAGATGGGGAGAGAGAGTAGAGGAAATCAGATTGACGCACGTGTTATTCACAGGGTCGCCTGATAGATCCAGGCTGGGCACCTAATAGCAGCAGTCAGCTTCCATTTCATCACTTAGCAATATAAGAGATAAAGAAAAAGCAAGGCTCTAAATTGCTATGTATTTATACAATCTAGGTTCCACATACTAAATCATAACTTGGTTCAGCTTCTCCAACACATTACACCCTTTTCTAACATCAACACAGACAGCAGGAAATCTGTTTTCTAGTAAGGTGGTACCTCCCTCAGCAAGCATATGAAATGTAAATGGAAAACTCTATTCCTTCAACTTGTTGAAACATGTGAATGTCTCTGCAACACTTATGAAAGATTGAAATGCCATCAAAAATCTCAATTGTTCCTTTATTCCTTCAAAAAAAGAACTTTTAACATTCAAGGAACATTGGAGGTGTTTTTTGATATTTCATTTGGTTTTGTCTGAGAAATGCAGAGACTATGGCCATCCTACTGTACAGGCACTTGCCTCTAATAAATCACAGTCTGCAGGTCTTTGGAGGAGGTATTGGGGATTGTAAACACAGATCTGAGCCGCAAGTCTGCAAGGAGTTTCAGAAAAGAAATACAAACAAAATGAACTCTCTTGATTATGGATCCTTTACTCCTTTTAACGGTACTCCTTTAAAAGTACACATCACACATACACTGGACTGGGATGTCCTTCAGCATCTGCATAAGGCCCTAAGCCATGAGCCAGGTAGACTGAACTCTTTTTTTTTTTTTTTTTTTGTCTTTTTCCTTTTTTTATCGGTACCAGGGATCAAACTCACGACTGCCTGCTTGCAAGGCAGGTGCTTATGCCGCTGAGCTAAATCCCCAGCCCCTAGACTGAACACTTGTAGAGTAGGCCCCAACCTGCTCTCTGTCTACCATAACCCCCCTGCTCTTCCTGCAGCAGTTCAAAATAACCTGACTCTTCCTGCAGCAGTTCAAGAGTCTTGGGGAAAGCTAGCTGAAAAAGCTGAATGCCTGGTGTACCATGTACTGAATGTGTTTCATTTTCTTTTCAGTTCAAAGTCTGGCGATTTGATAGGTTTTATTTTGTAGCTAGGTTTTGTGAGATACTTTTATGAAAAGAAGGCTTTAAACATGTAAGCAAAAGCTGAGCCTTTTTTCTTGATCTGTAATTCTCAAACGTGTCATCACTGAAAAGAGACAAGGAAAGGGTCAAAAAGAAATATTTTCAGTCCCTCTCAGTCTCTTAAATTCCTGTGAAAACAAGGCATTCTTTCGTACAATTAGAAATGTGTGGAGTGTGGATTGTACTTACTCTAATTTACAAGGTTATTCTAACTGAAAAATAGGGATGATCTTTACTACTGGGAAGTTCAGTTACAATACCACCAGCATTGTGCCTTTCATGGTTTTGGGAACTACCAGATAACAGAAGGCTTGCAGCAGCAAAGATAACTAGGAAGAAATGTAATAGGTTTCATAGGTGTCTTCATATAAATGACAGACACTGTAATGTACAACTGTAGTGAGGAATTTAAAAGCTATGCACTTCACTAGTTGGTGCTTCCAGATGAGAATGGCTTTGGGTTACCCAGAGGTGCATGGGGGAGCTTGAATTAAACTCCCATCTCAGTGTTTATTCAACTATATTAATGTTTCATCACTTTGGCACTAGTGACATTTGGCGTTAGATAATGCTTTGCTCTACTGAGTTATCCTATCCTTACAGAAAGTTTAGCTGCTTCTAATAGCATTTCTCACACCCTGTATGCACAATGTTGTCTCAGTGGACTACATCTCTAGACACTGTCAGTGTCCCTTGGAGGACAAATTGCCCTCAGTTGAGAGCTGCTAATCTGTACCTCATGTCTTCAGTCTACAATAGCCACAGTAGCAGACAGTGTCCTGGAAGAGCCTGGATGCCCCTCTGCATGGCTCTATGTTTGGTTGCAAAATATCCCATCCTCATTCGCGCATCACTTAACAGACTAAATATGAGAATCTCACCTTAGTTCCTAAAAGACTAGGATATTGGTCAAGACTAGGATATTGTATTTGTGTTAGAAGTAAAGGGCTCACCTGAAAGCTCCCGAGTAGCCATAATATGCCTCTTTGTTGTTAGGAGCACACACAGTTGGGCCAGCACAGAGCTCACAAAGACTGGAATTTCTTGGAGACCCGGGAGCACAACCTTGACTGAAAAATGTATCTATGCAGAAGAACAAGTAGAAGTCAGCTCTTCGCCAGTCGGCCAATACTGCTGACTTTTGTCTAACACATAACAGGGCTACGTAGTCCAGAAGAAGTAGACATGTTAGTTTATCCTGTGACTTTCCACCCACTAACTCAGCTGGCAGACTACAGGCTGTAAAACTGAGGCTGGGAAAAGGAGGTCATGGCCATTACGTTTCAAGATGGAAGGGATTCCTTTGAGCATCAGAAAAGTGTCATCACTAGCCTAAAGAAAGAGCAAATAAAATACCTGAGCTTAGGCAACCTGTTTTCAGATGCCCCCCTTCCTGTGTTAACAAGCTCAGTAAGGGGATGGGAATTTCCCTTGCAGTTCAGTTGTTTGCCCAATGCTGTAAAAGTACAGAAGGGCAGGAGATAGCACAGAGGTCAGGAGCCCACTGGGACCAAAAAATAAACGGACAAAGGGCAAAGGCCTGAACAAACTAAGCTAAGTAAACTAAAGTCAAGGTAACATAAGGCTTGAGGAAAATCCGGAGCTGCAAAAACACAACTAATGGACTCTGCTGGTGACAGGAAACCTGGCAAAGCAGCCACAGATCTACATGTTTGTGCATTCTCTGCCCCTTTGTCAGCTTGCAGTCAGAAGCTTTTAGAGCCAGGCATTTCCTTGGCATCCTCTTGTCCCCCCCACCTACTGGGGGATTTTCTCTGTTTTTTCTAATAAACTGCACACCCCAGCCCATTCCCCACTGCTTGTTATTTGCGCGTCCTTCTGCACTGCCACAGAGTAAGAACCTGAAAGGGAGAGAGCTGCTCACCCTATGACTTGTGGATATGATCCCAAGTGTACTTTGCTTTGCGTCAAACTAATATATAGAGGCACTGTAATGTACTGGGGCAGAGCTATGGTCTCATCTCTTATCCCTAGAGGCACAGGGTTTTCTGGAATTTGTAACCAGATTTAGAGACCTCCTTGGAGTTGGCAGGAAAGAAACAGGGAGCAAATGTAAACTGGAATCATTGTAAAACATTTGTTTGTAGGTATCTTACACCCAGAAGCTTTAAGGTGGTAGAAATAAACTTGTACCTGATGGATATTCAAAGAATGTAAGAATAAACTGCTACCTACCCCTAGAGGAAGCCAAGGAACTGGGCAGTGACCTAATATGACTGCAAATACCTTAAGAAACCAGAGATCACCCACACTCACATAGCCTGTAGAACTCCTATGGCAGGGTTTGCTAGCTGTGTTTCTAATATCGTTTGTTCCTTGGTAACAAATATTTGGTTTTATATGGGGCAGGAACATGTTCAAATGAAAAATTATATTCTCTTTTACAGCCCAGTGTGGTTCTGAACAACGGGAAGAAGTTAGCTCAAACAGTTGGTTAAATGTTGTGGAAGGCTCCTCTATAAAGCTGGCAGTAGCCTGTGTAGACTCTATTTGCTCTAACTCGGTATTTGGGGCCTGAACTGTGGGTATGATAATAACCATGGGGTAACTGAATCTGGAAGCCCCATGCAGCAAATGGTGGAGTAGAAAGAGAAAGAAACTATCATGATCATACTAGTCATGGACTGCTTGCCTCTGGTCTTTTTAACAAGAGATAAAAGCAAATGTATACTAACGAGCCATTATGAGCAACTGAAATGAACAATCTTGACTCAATTACTAACTCCACAACCGTTGTATCCCTGTTTGATATTTCCTTGAGGGTCACTCTTACAAAATGCTACTTCTGTGGCACCTGGGCTCACAGCATTTCGTACGACACTTCTCTCCTGCAGGACCCTTCTTTCTACTATGACCTTGCCACACTCCTTCCCAGGATTCACTCACCGAATTCGCAGTGCTTAATTCTGTTGTACAACAGACCCATGGGGATGTTCCAGCCAGCAGTCCTGTCGACTGCAGTATGGCAAGACATCTTGCCCTCCAAGTTATCCCAGTTGATAGCAGGAGCTGATTTCTTTACCACTGCCACAGCAAAATACCCTACAAGGACACAGAAGGAGAGGGGTCAACACTTCTGGAGCCTACAAAGTGTCTGCTCCCATCAAAGGGCAGCATCTCCATAGGGCAGAAAAGATGTTCTGGATCATTCTTAGTGTCCCAAAAGGATCTCTGCAGTCATTGTAGTAAAGTCAAGGCACTTGACAGCAACAGATTAATCTGAACATTAAGGATCAAATAATATCACATGTACTTTATTATTATGTACAACTTTTATGTTTTCATGTGTCAGTTAAAAACATAAAATATACAGAAAAACCAAAGTACTAAGATATGTTTTCACTAGAGCAGTAGCTGGTGTATAACCATTCTCCGAATTCATACAGTTACTGAAGTTAAAAACCCACAGTCCGTTCTCCAGTGTATTATTGTAGAGGAATAAGTACAAAATACTTTAGTAATGTAACCCCTGTATTTTATAAATTAACATATATTGAGATAGAGTAGTATAAGACCACTACACAACAAGGGGTAATCACATTTTCCAATAGAAAACAATTTTATACAATAGTTATGCAAATGGAAAATATAAAAAAACAAGTCAGTTGCACTTTAGCACTAAGTACATGCTGGTCTTTATAGTGAGGCATTGAACATCAATTCATGATTTCAGTGTTCCAGTTTATTCAGTTCAAAATATGGTTTCTAACAAGAAACAGAATTATTATCCATGGAGCAAGAATGGCTCTTTGTAGAGCTGCTAAAGAGGTCAGCTCCTCCAGTGACGGGGAAAGGTTAGGAGCTTGCACTCTGTAGGAGGGACAGGCACAGACTGCACTGATGGCTGACCACTATATGGCCTGTAGGGGCCTGAGCTCAGGTCCAGTGTTCACCTCGAGACTTGCTTCTCCCCATAGATCCAAATCCACCCATAGCTGGAACCCTGGGTAAGACCCAGATTGGCTTGGGTTCCTGAGCCCAGCACTAGCACAGACATGAAGTAATTTTATGTTCTTAGACAGCTGCCTGTGTATGTTCTGAACCTCATATGGAATAAACAAGCAAATTTTCCCCACCGCTAAGTCATCTGGAATATGCAGGCTTTAGGGAATTTGAGGTGGTGGAAAGCAGTAAGAAGACCCTAGATTTAGTGTAATGCTAGACCATCCACAAATTATTGGAGCCCTAGGGTCCTCTTATGCATCCTTAGAGGATGCTAATCCCTACCTTATAGGATTAAATAAGAAATCTCATGTACAACTTATTGCAGGTATAAAGGAATAACCATCATTATCAGTTACTTCCTTCCGTAATGCCTTTGCTTTGTAAAAAAAAGACCTCTCACCATGGTCTGCTTGTGATGTGAATTGTAAACTTACCTATCCACTTCTCTAAAGTAGTAGAAATTTGCCTTTTAATTCCTGAGGTTACCAAATTCCAACTTACCTTTTTCAGGTGCTTCTTTACACTCAGCGCTTTCTAAAGAAAAGAAAATGAAGAAAGTATTAAACACATATTTAGGTTTTTTTTTTTTTAAGCCAGACATAGTGATGCACACTTCTAAGTCTGGGAGGCTCAGGCAGGAGAGTCACAAATTCAAACCCAGTCTGGGTAATTTATCAACTTATCAAGACCATGTCTCAAATACATTTTTAAAAGGGAGATTGAGGGTTAACAGCAGAGCTGGGAATGCAACTCAATACATGGGTTCAACCTCAAGTGTTAAAAATAAAATAAAATAAAATAAAATAAAATAAATAAATAAAATAAAAGATTCATGCCTATCTCATGTAATAACTAAGAATAAACAGAGTAAGATAAAACTACCCATGTCACTAATTCTCAACAAGTGTAGGCTCCCTGAATGATGCAAGATCTTTGGCTACTGAGCTCTAGGATTTATGCACAAACTATAAGTTTCAAATTTCCTATTCTACAGAGCCAACATAGGGTGCAGGCTGACTATGTTTAAATCCATGCATCAAGGCAGCAGGAAGAACATGAAGTCCAGAAACTGGAAGGCCAGCCAGCAATATTAGATGTCCTCTACAGTAGAGTTAGTTTTAGCAGAGACTTCATGGCATTCAGAGCTTCTATTCCTACCACTGAGGGATGTAATAACTGCCTTTTTAAAAGATGACTATGAAGATTCTACATGAGGGAATCCAAAGTCTGGCTAGTGGCAGACACTGAGTAAGGGAGAGCCACAGTGCAAACAGGGCTGTGATTTTCCCCTCTCCTCTCTCCATGGCCCAGAAGGAGGAAAGCAGAGGGTGTCGTCTTGCACTTACCATGGTAGTTTTCTGCCATAACCGGCACCAGACCACACTGGCTGGCTATGTAGACAAATCCACCATCCAAGCTCATGGCATCTGCTTCCCCACTCTGTAGGTACAACAAATCACAGCAATTGAAAAGATGCTATTTCCTATTCATCTGCCCTTCTAGCCAACTCTTTGAAGAGCTTTCCCAGCCCAAGTTCTAAATAGCAAGTAAATAGCAAATAATGATACAGAACCCCTGAAAGATCAATCAGGCATACCTAACATAGAAAGTAAAATAAATGTATTCTCATTTTCAGCAAACCATCATCACCATCATGAACTGATGATAGACTGCAGGTGACCCACTTTCAATTTTCCTGTCTTCTCATAGGACACACCATCCCAGAGATAGTCCTATAATACCCTTCTGGACCTATGCATTCTCATCTGTGAGATGGAGAAGCAGAGCCAGGGACACGGGACTGTGTCTGGGGACAAGGCTCTAACCCCACATTTTAGCCCCACTGGTTGTGTGCTATTTTAGTACATGGTCGAAAAAAAGTTTTACAAATGAGTCAAATATTCACGAATGGTCTAGTACTCAGAGATAAGAAGCCCACCTTTCAGAAATGCTTAGAATCAACAAGATCTGCAAGATTCCCTTGGACCTGGAAATATACTTTCTATGAATATACTGAAAGGAATAATTAGATGTGTACATGGGTAACTATTTGGGTAAAAAAAAGTATGAGTAGGAAAAACCAGAAATGTGATTTATGAGAGCAAAGGGGAGCCAAAGCGTGTTCAGTGACAGAAAAATGGCTAAGTAAAGGCTGAAAATCCATGCTATGGAATAGATATTAAATTTAAAATATGATGTTTTTCTTTAAAACATCAGCATATGCCTATTTATTTCCTTCAAATGTATGGAAGACTAATTACACAGCAAAAAATCTCTTGAAGAGTGATTTGATTCTGTTGCAAGTATAGCTCAGTGGTAGACCCTTGCTATGTACAAGGGTCTGGCTTCAAACACCAGAGCAAGCAAGGGAAGGGAAGGGAAGGGAAGGGGAGGGGAGGGGAGGGGAGGGGAGGGGAGGCCAGGGAAGGCCAGGGAAGGCCAGAGAAGGAACACAGAAACAAAACCCTAATGATTTGACTCAGTATTTGAATTATATAATTTTACATCAGTAGACTTTCTTTTTTAATACTTTTAAGTTAAAAGCCTCACCTCATACACCATTTGTATTTATTATTTCTCCTTCTATACAAACTTTAAAAATTGCAAACTATATGTATAAATCACATTTAAAAACCAGAAACTTAAACACTGCTCCCTCAATATGGTTCAGAAACCTCTGTATACTGACAGTAATCATAAATGGTACATTGTAGGAAGGGAAAAGGAAAAGTGAGACAGACATAAACTTGCTATCTTAATATTTTACTAATTCTATCCGTGAAAAATAGGGATGTCCTGAGAGAGAACAGCTTTGGCTTACTGTGAGGAACGGAGTGAGCCTAACAATTTGAGAATGTGTTTGGAAGCATTTTCCTGTTTTATCTGAGTTGCCATAACAAGCAGATGCTGAGGGAGAAGTTATTTTCTTCCATACATTTGCTCAGTGTTGCTGAGTATCTTGCCCTAGAAATGTGTTTTAATCTCTCTATATTCAACACAAAGTCTTCTTTTACCAGGCCAGTTGCAGGCTTCACAGGTCAGGGCTAAAATTAATTTTAAATGTCACTTTAAACTGTTTCAAACTTGCTGAAATAGCAGCTTCAGAAAGTACCTTAAGTACCTTGTTTTCCAACTATTAGCTCGTTCCAAGTTCCTTTACATCCTCTCTTTTGAGGTGTTTCTTTTAATTTGTTTTGATTTGCCACGACAGATCCAATGACATAAGAATGATACCCGAAGTGATATGGTCACACACACCTATAGTCCCAGCACTTTGGGAGGCTGAGGCAGGGGGATCACAAGTTTAAACCCAGTCTGGGCAACTTAGTGACTTAGTGAGACCCTGTCTCAAAGTAAAACTAAAAGTGATTGGGGATATAGCTCAGTGCAAAGGCCCTGGGTTCAGTACCACAAAAAAGACAATATCTGTGCATGTGATATATTTGTGCATATGCACAAATGCACAAATATCACCTATTATTGGGAGATTCAAAGCTCTATTTTCCCTAGGCAAGAAAAGCATGCTTTTTAGCCTGTGTTAAACAAGGTCCTTTTTATGATCCAAATTCTTTAAGTAACCATTCAATTCTCCAGTAGTTCTAGTCCAGAACCACTTCTGTCTGTTTTCATCTTCAAAGAAATCTGCTTCTGTCTGTGTTTAGTTGTTGCAGTATCTTATGATCACATTTGACTTCCCATGAGAATTTCACCGCTGGGCTGTGGTTTATCAGTATTACAGTATCCACTTGGCTTTTTTTCCAGTTTCTTAATTTCATTTCACAGAAACTAATGGGGCTCCTGCTCCTTCCAGTATTGCAGCCTCACACTTCTGTCACTGCTCAGCCACTGCAGATTCAGTAAGTCCACGGCCCTTACCGGTGGTCATTCCAAACTGCTCACGTTCATGGTGGCGGAAAGTGGAGACTCAGGTTTTGAGTTGGGGGCTTTGCTTTAATTTAGTTAGATTTTTCCTGTGTTAACTCTGACAAAAATAAGCTTAATTCATTTAGAATAGTATAAAGTAATGTTCAAAATGTATGAAATATAAAATAACAAGAGCTGATCGGCTAGTTTTACTTCAGGATAGTTTTGAAAATATGTGGTTATTCCTAAGTGCTCAAAACTTAAAACTTGATAGATTGAGCAAGATACTGTTGATAATGACAGGAAGTTCTAGTGTCTCCCATGTACCTTTGTTTTAATACATTTGTAATTTATTATGAAGGCTCCAACTTAACAGCCAAATAGAAGAGATGATAGGGCATCTTTTAGAATTGTTGGGGGAAGAGGACTCAGAACTTAGAGATCCCAGAACCCTTCCAGACATACTACCTACCTGGCACCTTGAAGCAGGCACCGACATAGAAGCTCCTCAATCAGATTTTTTAAAGAATGATGGGAAAAGCCCATTAGATTTCATGAGGCAAGAGGTGGTAAGCAACCTATATGATATGATCCTAGCAAGAGATTTTCCTCTTAGTTACATAAGTATAAGCAGTACTTTTGATTTTCTTCTATCATTAAGGATTTTTCAACAAGCAAACATAGAGTACTATTTTAATCAACAAAGCAAATTTGTGCCTGCCTGCAAAATCAAAAGAGAATCTATTGTCCTCACCATGGTGCTCCAAGGGTTTTTGAACATCCCCACCATGCCTCCTAAGCAGAACATGGCTCATGTTCAGAGCCTTTCATTGAACACTAATATGAGGAGGAAACTGAGCCACAAACTCTAAGGTTCTGAATGTCCGATGGTGCTGTGTTCATTCAGTTAGAACAAGGACCCTGGGAACCAAAGTGTCTGCATCACTCCCACAAACAGGCGCTGGCTCAGCCTTAGCTGTGGGACAGCAGAAAGAAGTGGCAGGAGACTGTCCTACGGACACAGAGGTGACATACCATGATCTTGGCAATGCAGTCCTCCGTGGTCTCTGCTGATTCACACTCTATTTTCCCTTCACTGTTAACACTCCACTCATCACACTTGAGCCTCTCGTGGTGGCTCAGAGCACACCACTTCAGTGTCTTGGATTCTTCCTGTGAGCTTTGTGGGCCTGTGGTGCAAGAAAAAGACTCAAAGGTCAAAAGAGAGGCCTCTGATGTTCTCTGGTGTTTATCAGTGCTACTAATTGCCTTCATGCAAATAGTAGAATTTGTCAGCAAAAACAAACATCCCATTTGAAGAATTCATCCTTTAGAAAAGTTAATACACAATCTCTTGATTGGTTTCTGTTATGGCTTGTATCTAGATGTCCCCCAGTGTTTCATGCAATCATAGGTAGGGGCTTTTCAGAAGTGGCTGGATCTAGAGTGTGTGACGCTGTGACTGATTCATGGTGCAGTGCTAGAATTAAGGGTGTGAATGCTACCCACTCTTGGTAGGTAGCCTAGATAAAATATTAGAGACAGAAAGAGGGCTGATACAGTCATTGCTTGTTGCTTGCTGCATTTGCTGTCATCTACCTACCATGAACCATTTTTCCTCCATGATGCTCCTCTGCCTTGGAGCCAGTTGACTATGGATTGAAACCTCTATAAACTGTGAGATGAAATAAACCTTTCTTTTTAACTTTGGTTATCAGGTATTTTGTCTCAGCAATGAGAAAATTGACTAAGACAGTTTCTTTTCATTTAGAGTCAAATTTTTTTCTTCCTTAGTAGCACAGCTCTCTTCTATAATTTCTGTACATTCTATGGTTTCTAGCTGGTATTTTCATTTTTGTTTTTCAAATAATACTTTATCACCTGCTATGTTTATGTTTCTGTGCCCATATTTAGTGTTAGTTTCCTTGCAGGAGAACGTGAGTTCCAACAGGGCCATGCCTGTCCTGCCACCAGAGCACCCTCTGTTTAAGTGCTGCTAACATATGGTCAATGTAATTAATGTCAGAGGAACAAGTGAACACCTGCTCCTCTCTCAGACTCAGTCCCAAGTCACTTCAAGGCAGCCATACCTCAACCCCCAGATTTTTCTTTGTTTTGTGTTTTCATAGGACCATGGTTTTGTGTTGTTTTTATTGTTTCACTTGTAAGCAGGTCCCTAATTTTATAGCTGATGACTCAGTAGTATGACTGTTTATCAAACATTTGTCTTCTTTCTGGTATGAAAGTTCTTGGATACCAGAATCTAATATAGGCTTGTATGTTCAGTTCCTGGCCAAATTTATGGCTATATGTTCAACATATGTCCATCGAGTAAACTAATGAACAAGCAAAACCCCAGTGACTCAATAAAATTCAGGATTGGGAGTGACCTGTCTAGAACCCCAGCTTCATCATAGCATGTGTTGATCATAATATGTGCTAGGGATGTGCGATCTTTAGACACATCTTTTTATTTTACTTATTTTGTGACAGGCTAATTGGTTTCACAATTGCCCTGAAGGGCAATCCTTATTTGTGTAAGGAAAATAGTGAAAGAAACCAACTCAAGTCATTAAAAACATTAGTTTCCTTTAAAGCTTTTGTGATGTCCAGACCATCGCATCATGACTGCTGCCACTTAGCATCAGTCTAACACAGAGCTCATGGGAAGGACAGGAAAAAAGACACAGGAGACTTTCAGGTCCTTGGAAAAACTGGATCACTGACTCTGGCCCTTGACAGTTCCCCCAGCTCCTGAGGTCCTTCCTGAGTACTTACATATGCCTTCCCGTAGATTCCGAACAGCAGTGACGTACTGGTAGCCCAGATATAGCCTATAGTCCATCCTGGGGGGGATCCTTAGAAATCCTTGCGTAGAGTCCTTAAATAGCAGGTCCTTCCCATGAGGAGAGCTGAACAGCTGGAATTCTTTCGATTTGTCTACGCCAAAGTGTTCCTATTCACAGTAAAATGGAAGAATCAGTGGCAACAGTAAGCAAAAGAGGCTGAAAATTGGGACTGAAGAGAACAAAAGAACTCCACAAAAAACAAAGTAAAACAGAACCATAAGGAACTTGAAGATGCCAGGAGAGAAAACAGGCAGAGGCAGTCGTGCTGTCCTCCATCCGGCACCTTCTTTGTTCATCACCTTTTCGGAACCACACCAAACTCCCTTCCCTGAGTGAGGTTCTGGACCTGTGTCCCTGAGTGACTAAGAGATTTCAGAGAACAAGAAATGTGTTTCACTGAGAGGCTGGCAGTGAATGTATGGTGGTTGCTTCAGCTCTTGGGAGCAATGAGATGAGGGGAAGTTAGCTCAAGCCCACGTCCCACTGCTGTAAGGGAGCAGAGCTGGCAGTGGATGCAGCTCCCTGTGCAGCCAGGGTGGGAAACCTCGGGAGAGAGGCTCTTCCCTGGATGGGAGCAATGTCATAGGTGTCTCCGTGGAAGTGATGGTATTTTTCCCTGGGCAGTAAAAGCATGGTTCACATGGGAAGAAGTGGAATAATGTGAAAAGAGATGTCAATGACCCACAAGGTAAAGGTTGATGGATGCTAATGCCAGAGGAGGGTCCTTACTGCTCTGGGAGGACTCCTACCCAGCTGGGGGCTTGTGGAATGGTTGATCTGTGGTGAGATTTCCACTGTGCCCTGAACACACAAGTACACCTAGAGTGGCCAAAAAGCAAGGAATAAAACTGCTAAGTCCAAGCAGGAGAGAGGAGGACAGCAGGTGAGGATACCTGGGCCTGATTGAGGAGCTCCCAGATCAAGTCCTCCTTGCCGTCCACACTCCGAGCCACAACAGCGTGAGAAGGGACCTTGGCCAGATGGCACTGCGCATACTCATCCACTGACTTCCGGGTGTTGTCGGGGCAGAGAAGCTCATACTGGTCCCTCTCAGCCTTGTCAGGCAGGGCCTCTGGGGAGGGAAAGAGCAGGTGAGGGGACTGCACACAGAGCCATGAGCTGCGGTGACCCCTCCCCACCTTTTCAGTCCTACTGATCACAGAAAGCATGAGCTGAGATGCCTGCACTGATCACTGAGAGCCAGAGAACATGCAGGAAATTAACTCTGAGGGCAGATGAAGGCAGCGAGGCTTTCAGTGCCAAGGGCAGTGATGGCTGCCCCACATCCATGAGTCCTATCAGCAGGATGATTGAAGGCCAAGATGAAACCAGACCATCCTTTGGTCCATTGCTAGACAACACTGCCCCTGAGGCAGAAGCAAAAACCCAAGCAACAATAGGCCCTATATGCTCATGTCTTACTACTGAACGTGGACAGCAGCAAGGACAAGAAACAATGAGTGTGCACTACTTAGAAAAGACTTAGCAGACTCTTCCCCATCGCTTACCAAATATGGTTAAGTGCTTGATGAAAGCGACATCCCCACCACCGTCCTTCAGACACCTGTGCAAAAGGAACATGTTAGGAGAGCTCCTGCAGAGCAGGCCCCGTGCCTGGGCCTGGTAGTCCTGACCACACAGTCCAGCTTCTCCACAGGAAGGCCTGTGGAGCCCTGCAGGGTGCTGACATCCAGGGCACCACTGCAACAGGAGATAAACTCAGGAGTGGGAGGTGCCCAACTTTATACCGCAAAGCAGCAAGAAGGTATTAAAGATATTGTAATGAAAAGATTTTTTTAAAGTTGTTGGTATAGAAGACCATATAATGGTGTTTCCTATCTCAAGGATAGAAATATACCATTGCCTGGCTATAAAAGTTTAACCATGGTAACAAGAGACAGCAAGAATGCAGCCACAGTAGCCATCTGGGTAGAGGCAGTGAGGGGAGCCAATGCACTGAGTGTGTTACACTGCTGAAATAGCAAGAGGGTTCATCACTGAACAACGGGCCTGGACCCTAGTGACAGACGTGGCTGCGTTTTCAGTCCAGCAATAGGAGACACTGGTCAGGCTTGAGGAGAGAGAGTGCCCGAGGGGAGTTTGATCATCAGGGTTGGATGAATGGCAACATAGACTGGCCTAATCTCAAGAGATCCAGTCAGTGGGATGCTTCCTGGGAATGCATCAGGCCTCCTTGATGCCCCTGTAGGCAGGCAAGGCTCTGACTGTTCAGGGCCACCAAAAGGCTCCCACCCCGGGGACATTTAGCAGTTTGGCCAGCATGGAGCAGTGGACATCTTACTCACTTGAAGGCGCCTGCGTAGCCAAAGTGTGGTTGAATGGAGGAGCAGCCACAACCTGGACATAGCTGACACAGTTGAGGGAAGGCTGCCGCATCAGCACAGGGGACACAGCTGCCCGAGAAGAAACTGGCCACTGCTGCTCAACATGGAAAAATGGACCCGTAAGAGGTGAGCAGGGCTGGCTGTACCCTGGGACATGTCCCAGTCCATGCTCATTAGGGAACAGGAAGAGACTAAAGTAAAACCAGAAAACCCCATCTTAGGTCAGCCTTACTTGTGCTAGGTCATCAAGACCCAGAGCTTTTGAAAAGGGACAAATTATCTCCCATTCCAAATTAACTACCCAACCAAGGAAACAGACCGGTGCTTTCCACCAATCAAGGCTTGTCTCGGGCCTTTATCATCAAACTGCCCACTACCCACACAGCTTGTGCTGTCAAAGGCTAGGATAGCTCAGAGAGATCCTCTCTGTGACCCATGTCCTAGAGATGGGAGAACCATCTACAGGGTGCAGGCCAGCCCCATGGCCAGCAGATGGCCACCAAAGCAACCTCCAATACAATGAGACAAGTACACCATGGGCAGGAACTCTAGGGAAATAGGGGGGCCCTGTGACCGTGGTCCAGCTACACTCTCTGTTAGCCCATCAGTCCTTTTCTCCTCTCTTGAGGGTGGCCTCTGCTGGGTGGAGTGACTCAGTAGAAAAAGCTGCCACTTCCCACCCCGTTGATATACCAGTCAGCCAAAGACAGCTGGTGCCATGGATCTGCTAGTTTCAAGCTGGTTAAATCCCTCTCCTATCCCAGAGTTCACTCGACATGTCCAGCCAATCTTGGCTGCATGACCCCAGTATGTATGGCTTGTGTGGCCCTCTATAGTACAGATTCCAGCTTACCTTTCTCAAGAGGCTTCCGAGGCTCAGGTAAGTCACAAAAGATCGAGCCGATGGGGATGACCCACCCAGCAGACCTGCCAAGGCCTGTGTGGCAGGACTTCTTGCCTTGGAGCTGGTTCAGCTGGAAGTCGGTGCCCTTCTTCACCACGGCCACAGCATAGTAGAAGGTCTGTGGATCTGCAGAGGGACAGTGTGAGTAGAAGAAAAACCCTACACAGAGAAGTCTGCACAGGGAAACACTGTTCATCGTTACTGGGCTCTGGAGGAGGACACGGGGACCCAGAGGCCGCTTATGCTGGGCTGGTAGAATCAAACAGCTTCTTAGGCTTGCAGAGAAAATAAAAGATGAGGGTACATTTGTAATGTACCTTGTCCTCGGCAAACACAGGGGCAAGAAGGCGACATGCACATGTGTGCAATGCTTTGCTTGCCCTGGCCTTTTAGTGTGTTTGCCTATACCTGCCACCGAAGGCCATCAGAAAACTGGAGCTGTGGCCACAAGTTGACCTCCTACTGCCTACTGCCCTCATTGTATCTTCTGTCCCCTGGAACAGGCCCAGAGATGGCCAAATTGACCTCAGAAGACTTCCTGGGTTGTCAGTGTTCCTCCATGTGCTCCAGAGTGGTTCTCTCTTGTACATAGCATCCCAGGGACCCTGGGCACATCCTCAATCCATTGGCAGCTCAAAAGCCATGGAGGCCTTGACTTATGCCTTCACCCAAAGATGAAGGGTATGAATGTCTAACGTCTAATACTGCTTGCAAAACACAAAACCCAGTGTCTAGTAGGCAATAAGGTCTAGAAGCCCTTCGTAGGGGTCCAGGGAAAACTTACTCTCTTGTGAGCCATAGAATTCTGCCACTACTGGCTTCAGGTTTTTGGGAGCCAGGCCTGCCTCATGCACCAAACCGGCATCCACTGTAACAGCATCTGCTTCATTGGCCTGAAAGAGAGCAGACCGGATCTCAAGGAAACCCTCGTGTCTGAGGACGCCCACCTGAACCTGCACCAGTAGGGTATGACTATTAGGGCTCCATGGGTTTAGGACTAAAAGAATCCCCAGTTTGACCAGACCAAACACAGCACTGTGGACTCCAGTTGACTTTTTCTTCCATGAAAGGGCACTTGGCCACCATGTTCCTACACTTCCTGCATAAAGGAAGGCGTACATTATTTTTCTCTTTGCCCTGGTCAGGTGTCCAGCTCCTGGCTCAGACTCCTATATGGATTTGTGCTAGGAGTTGCAAAGGGTTGACCAAGCAGGCATGGGGTGCTACACCCCAGACCTGCAGCTACTGGCAGGGATTGAAACCGAGAGCTCTTACACCACCTTCCATTCTTAGCCTGATCTGTGTTCAGAGACCTGCTTCAAGTTGGGACTTCCTGTGAGGTCTTCCTCAGGTGAGGACCTTTTTCTGGGGGAGCATGGAGACCTTGAAGCCTCTTGTCTTCACCCTGATTCAACACATAGTACTTTTCCTTCCTGCCCTGAGCTTCTAACACTGCAGGAGCTTTTCTTTCAGAGATTGTGTGCTTTCTTTGATTTCAGCTTTTTTATTGTACTATGTACTAATCACTTAGCACATAGTACTAAGTGATAAAAACATGGGTTATTTCTTCCAATTTTGCTCAGTTTCACTCCTTGTTGGTATAATTGTCTACTCTGACACCAAGCAACTCACCTCTCTCCATCTCAGCTCCATTTTACAGGGGACAAAACTGAGGCAAGCAAGAGCTCATTCACTTTCTCAGCTAGTAAGCCAGGGTGCTAGGAGTTGAGTTCAGGCAGCCTGGGTTTACTTTAGGGGTTCTGTTTGTTTATTTTACATTGTGCTTCTATTAAACTTCATTTTAAATCAGTGAATCACTTGAAGTACATGGCTGCCTTCCTAGTAAGTGGATAGTTTATTTTCTCTTTGCTTGAACTCTTAAAGTGAGCCAAACTATCATGTATATTCTCGAGAACATGTTTTTTACTCTGGTTTTTTTTTTTTTTTTTTTTTTTGCTTCTTTTAGCAAAATGATTTTTCCAGAAGCCCTTGCCACTTTTCTGTTAATAGATAGCTATTAATAATTAACAGTTCTAGGGGCTGAGGATTTAGCTCAGCAGCATAAGCACCTGCCTTACAAGCAGGCGGTCGTGAGTTCAATCCCCAGTACCAATAAAAAGATAAAAAGAAAGACTGAAAAAATTAACAATTCTGATTGATCAAATTACGAGACAAAACTATAGTTCTTTGATCTTTGTCATGTTATAGGGAAGTAATAAGTGATTTTTCCAGAAGACCCTGCCAGTTTTCTGTTAATAGAGAGCTATTAATAATTAACAGTTCTGATTGATCAAATTATGAGGCAAAACTATAGTTCTTTGATCTTTGTCATATTATAGTGAAGTAATAAGACAAAATACTTATTTCCTTTTCTTTTTTCTTCCTTTTGCTTTTTAGACAGTCTTAACTAAGTTGCTCACACTGGCCTCAATCTTAAGATACTCCTGCTTCAGCCTGCCAAGTAGCTGGAATTACAGACATGCACCAGGACAACTGGCAACGACAAAGTATTTCTAAGTGAAATACACTGTTGATGCAAGCCAAATTATCTTTGCCTAGTTGAAAAAAATATATATTTTGTCTTTTTCTTTTTTATCGGTACCAGGGATCGAACTCACGACCGCACACTTACAAGGCAGGCGCTTATGCCGCTGAGCTAAACCCCCAGCCCCTAGTTGAAAAATTTTAATGATTAAGTTGGGCTTTTGTTTTTGTATTATAATAAAATATTACATAACAGAAAAGTAACCATTTTAGCATAAAGTTTAACCATTTTAAGTTTACACAAAATTTACTCTTTTAAGTATAACATACAATTTACAATTTTACCATTCTTATATTCGTGTAACCATCATCACTCTCCACCTCCAGAGCCTTATATTCCCAAACTGAGACCCTGTACCAATGAAACCATCACTGCCCATCTCTTCCCAGCCCCAGGCAACTAGTGGTCTACTTTCTATGAATTTGACTTCCAGGCACATGCTGTCAATGGAATCATATAATATTTGTAGGGCTTACATCACGTTTTCCTTTTCTTTCTTTCTTCATATCTTTTCTCCTTTTCTTTTCTTTTCTTTTCTTTTCTTTTTTTTTCAGTATTGGGAATTGAACCTAAAGTATTCATACTGAGCCACATGCTGGGTCCTTTTTCAGTGTTTAAAACAGGATCTCACTAAGTTGCTAAATTGCCCAGGCTGAATTTAAACTCACAATCCTCCTGCGTCAGCCTCCCAGAGTGCTAGGATTACAGGTGTGTGCCACCATGCCTGGCTACGTGTTAACAAGGTTCATCCACGTTGAGTCATGCATCAGAATTTCATATATTTTAAGGCTGAAAGTAATTCATGGTATGCATATGTCACATTCTGTCTATCCATTCAAGCATCTGTGAATATTTTGATTGTAAAAACATGATTTTTTTCTATGTTAGGGTTAAATCCAGGACCTCACACATTTAGGCAAATCCTCTACCGCTTAGCAAAATCCTCTCAGCCCCATAAAAACGTATTTTTAATATGACAAAACATGTACAAAAAAGTGTAAATGGTTGATACATCTACTTTCAGTATCACAAATACTTGGGACACAAAACAGGCCCTGTTTTGTGTTTTCTGTTTCATAACAGCTAGACTCCAGATATGAAACTCCTTTTGGCTCTGTTTATACCTGTAGACACCTTCCCTACCCCACCCTTCACACAGCTGAATAAAAATGAGTAAGCAGACAAGAGCTTCGCCCTGTGCAGAGAGACTGGTGAGAGCATCCCCTGGGGCCTTCTTGGCTGGAACACCAGCGTCCTGGGCAGGGATCACTACAGCCTCTGGGACTCAGGAAGCCAGGAAACCCAGGCTTGACAGAGGTGCTCCTGTGCTAGAGCAGCAGAAATTCCCGGGCACCCTATGCCAGTGAGAATGTGACCTCCCAAGTCCAGATGGCCAAACCCAGCAGCAAGTGGGCTTGAGGGAAGCTGCGAGTAAGGAGGAAGCAAGCAGGAGGGAAGAAAGTTCAGCTGGCCAGGTCTTTGTACACCTCACTGATTCGTCGAGCTAGGCCAGGCTCCAGTTGGCTGTCTGCCTCCTCATCTCTTCTCGCCTACCGGTTTCCTCTTGCTTTCTTTGTGCTGAGAATTGGAGAGCTTTCCACACAAGGCAAGGCCATCTAAACATCTGCATCAAGGGATTTAACCATGCTGCAGCATGGCTTCTAGCAGCAGGAGGCTGTGTCCCTTGAACCACCCCAGCCACCCCTCAGCGTGCCAGCTGAGAAAGCTCAACAGGGCCAGGGAGCTTTGCTGTTTCTTCCAGCTAGCACACAATTAATGGTTAGCCCAGACCTCCCTTTCTAAAAGCAGTTACTGAAAAGGACTCATGATTGTGAATACGTTTCTCTTGCAACTAAAAAGCATCTCTTTCAAGGCCCAGAGAGCCATTCCTTTGAAATATACTCATCAGATGGGATGAGGTTTAATCTCCTAGTCACTAAAGATAGGAATCTAAAGTGCATGCCTGCCAGTCAGCTGTCATGGGTGGCCCTCAGTCACACAGGCCAACCTTTAATACTCTGGGACTTCTGTGACTATTGCACTCCCTCTGTAATTCTCTTTTTAAAAACACCCAAGTTACCTCTGCACAAATCAGAATGGAGCTCAGCTCTTTACTCTACAGTCATTACTTACTGAATAAAATCTGTTTTGCACACTAATATCTGGCTGTATTTATCTCTGACACCTTCCATTATCCCAGCTTCCTTCTTGCAGCCTGACAAGCCTGGCTCCATCAGTCTCAGGCCCTTTCTTTGCACGCACTGTTGTTCACCTCCTGGTGTAGTTACTCTTCATTCTTTGCAGCGCCCAACCTGGGGTTCATCTCTTGAATTTCAGGATCTCTGAGATCTTCCTTCTCAAAGAGAATGCACCTGACCGCACAGGCCAAAGGAGGTTTCTCAGTGAGTCCTTGTCAGAACACGCTACTCTTCTCCTCCATTGTGCGTCCCACATTGTGAAACTATTTACTGTATGTTTTTCTTTCCTTCTCTAGCTAGGTTGTGAGTCTGTGCAAGGTAAGGCCCATGTGTGTTTAATTCACCACTTCAGCCCTATGACCTAGCATGGGGTCAGATGCACAGCAACAATACTGAAAGGGTGATGAATATTTCTTTGGACCTAGAAACAAGGGGATCAGCCAACATCTATAATTATGACATCATTCCTCCTCCACTCATCATTCATGGTCTTGCCAATGATGTACCAAGAACTCCAGCAGGCTAGGGGTGTAGCTCCAGCAGTAAAGCACTTGATTTACATGTGTGAGGCCTGGGTTCAATCCCCAGGACAGCCCCCCACTCCCCCAAAAAGCTGTCAAGTAAAGCTATATAAACATTTCCTACTTAATGGCCATCTTACTTTGCCGTGACTAGGTCGTTAAATGAATTGGCTGGCTAAATGAGAAATCGGATACAGTGTGTGATTACAATACTCAGAACAAAGAATGGTCAAAGGAAATTCCAAAGATTTGGTGACTTCGCTTTTATTTGCATAACTCTTACAAGCAGTACAGCACTTAGCTCCTTAAAATAGTCACCTTTCAGACTACAATGGCATTTGCTTTATACACACGTTAAAGATGGCCTCTCAGATTTCCATTTTCAAAGTGACAAATAGCGGAGGAGGTTAACTTACCCCTGCATCAGTCTCTCACCTGTGAGTGTAGAACTATCTTGAAATGCCCAGAGAAGGAGAAAGTGAGGACTTCCTTCTCGTTCCTCATAGGCTGCTGTGACTTACCGCAATGCTCTTGATGCAGTCAAGGTGAGAGTTTTTCTTCACACAAACGACACGGGGACCTTCTGGGGGAAGGACTTTCTTCATAACGTCACGGAAACTGGCACATTTGCTGGCCTCATGATCTAACACAGCACACCATCGCACAGTTTTCTCAGGGACAGCCAGACAGAGCCCTAGTGAGGAGAAGTCAGAGGTGTAAGGGACCATTCCCTGTGTCAGTGGAGATACAGTGCCACTCTCTGAAGGTCCTCGATGGCCGAATGCCATCTGTCCTGTCTCCATCTAACTCCATAAACATCACAGGGCACACCCCCACTGCGTCCTGTCCCATATTCCCTTGCGGTCCTCATCTCGGTGTGCTCAGCAGCATTGTCAGACACCGAGACACACTGGTTCAAACTGAATGTGGTGTACAGTACTGGGAAACCAGCAGATAGGAATTACCAACTTTTGGAGGTGAGAGAGCTGGACTCACAAAATGATGCTCTTTTGTTCATGGTCATCCCGTTCGTTAGCAGCCAGGCCAGGCTTAGAACCCATGTCTCCAGCCTCTCTTAGTCTACCATCCAGGGCACAGAGGAAGATAACATTCTCTGCCCCTCGTTGGCCAGCAGTTGTGCATAAATAAAGGAAAAGATCATGACTTTGCCTGTGACACTTGTGTCCCATCCTCTGGTTAGAAATAACTGGAGACATCTATCCAACAGTCTTCCCTGCATCCCACACCACTCACTTCGGCTGCCACTGAGACAGAAAGCTAAAGCCAGCCATATGTCTAACTATTAAAATATGAGTTCTGATATTAGCAGACTGAGCACAAAGCAAGGGACTAAGGCCAACTGTGCCTCAGGATAGCTACGAAGGGCTCACGAAGCACTGTCCACCGCCAGCTCACTACTTCATTCCAACTGGATGCCATGGGAAATCACGGGAAGCATCACACCCAGTGGTAGATCCTTCCAAAACCAAACCCTTCAGCCCCTCCTCCAAATCAGTCCTCCCAAGTTCTACAGTCAAACACGTGTGCTCAGTCATGTTTCACCTTGCACACCCCCATGAGATGCGCTGAGAGGAGTCATTTGGAGCACTCTTTGAAAGGGTTTGTAGTTTTCAGGGAAATCAAGTAACTAAGTATGAAAAGCTCCAATAGTGTGGCAAACGCCCTGTGAGTGGCAGGCAGCCGGAGTGGCCTAGTGACCTAGGGTGAACCACCTCATCAGGCACCAGCCCTACAGCAGGCCATCAGCCTGCAGCAGTCACCACTGGGTCTGACATGCACGACTTTGCTTACCCGCCCAACCTCCCAGGTAGGTGCTGGTATCACCGCTTTCACAGGTGAGGAGCCCGACCAGGATTTGGACCCGCAAATTCTGGCTTTGTGTTTCAGCCTCTGAACTACGCCATGGGTGTGCCCCCTAAGCAGGGCATCAGCAGCGTTATGGACGCCGCTGGGACGTCTGCCTATGAACTGTGGCAGTCAGATCTAAGGAAATGTCTGAACGCCACACGAAGGCGGGTGGACTGACTGAAAAGCCAGCAAAGAAGGGTTTGGGTCAACTGTGGTTAGAAGTGCTCTGATTTATCGCTCCATTGCTGGGAGAGTCCCTGGGCAGAGAGGATGAGCAGGAGACAAGAAGCTCAGGAAAAGACGCCAAGGACGGTCAGAGGGGCGCAGAGCAGAGCCACTTCTGTGACGCAGAAGGTGGAAAAGGGGTGGCAGGGACAAAAGGAAAGGCACGGCAATCCCAGCCTGCGGGGTGCAGAGGATGCGGAGCCGGCCGCTAGGTCCTTCTCCGCACGCACACTCACCCAGGGCGGCGCAGGCCAGCAGGGCGCCCACGGCGAACCTCATCCTTCCCTGTGCGGCCGGCCGGGAGCGGCGAGAAGACAGCGACCGCTTCTGCGCTGCGGGCCTGGCCGCGCGCCCCTATATCCCTGCACGAGGCCAGCCGGGCGCGATCTTTGACCTCCTTTGTTTGCGCAGCAATTGCCTAATCGTCCCTCATCCATCCCCCTTCCTTTTTCGCCCCGATGGTCACCTCATTTCCTGAGCTGTGTGACAAACCCACGAGTGGAATCCAGCACAAAAGTGCTGGCGGGAAGGGGACGCAAACAAAATCCATTCTTTGTTCTCGCTGCTCCCTCTGTGCCAGGAACGCGGCTACAGAAGACCGGGTCGGGGGCGGGGGTGGCTCTGCTCCAGACCCAGGCCGCCTGAGCTGGCGCGGGCCTCTACCCCCATCAGCCCTGTGCAAGAGAAGGGAACGGCCTTAGGCCCCAGAATGAAACCTAGGCATTGCAGGCAAAGCTGGGCTCAGGCGGTTCCTGGAGCCTCACAGCAGGAACTCTCTGGGTCAGCTCACCATCTGCCCCTGATCCCTGGCTTGAGGCTTGGAAACCCTTCTGGGGGAAAATAGCCTGGGCTAGGAGCCTTCAATAGGAACTCAGAATGAATGCAGAGAACGGCCCAGGGAAGATGTGATCTGTTCTCAAAGCTTCAGAGCCACTTTGCCCCCCACTAGCCAGCCAAGGAGTCTGCAGTCTGCTTTGATTCACATCCTTATGACCAAAAATACTGTGGTTTCTTTCTATGTGTGTATTTTAAGCAAAAGTTGTGTTCATTTCAATCACGAATGAGGAACAGAAATTTATAAAAGGTGGCGAGAAAGATAAGACACACTCATTTTTAAATATCCTTCTCTATATAAGGCCTTATGTACACTAAATAGATCTCAGCACAATATACACTCAGGAGAAGGTCAGGGTTCCTCAAGTACGGTGTGAACCCAGATTTCAGAAAGTTGTCAAGATAATGTTGGGGTTTTCAAAAATTGCTTCTTATTCAGTCCAATCAGATGGTCATTGGTTCTGCCTCATATTTTAGCTGCCAGAAAGTTTATACCTGGCCTAGTTGGCATGCTAACCCGCCTGGCTCTTCACTTTTGTTTTGTTGTGCTGGTATTACTAGAATTGTCTCCTCGTTGTAGTTTCTTTGTGAGAATACTACATTTAAGACACTGGAGTATCTTATGAGAGTTGGAAAGTGAAAGCCAGATTTCCTAATCTGTTATATTTACTGATCTAGGCATATACAATCCACAAAATGTAGCAAGAAAAAACTGCCGAAAACAAAAGATGAGGTCAGGGTACCACCACCATCCAATATACTCCCTTTCGGACCCATTGCACTTTGAGGTGACCCCCAATTTCCCTTGGGGTGCCTCAAAGGCATGCTGCCTTGACTGCTATCTCTGGTCTTTACCTACAGACCCAGCAGGGGAGACAGGGCCAATCAACTCACTTATCAAGTAGGAGAGAAGGATGACTTGTTATTAATCTTTATAATAACAACAGAAATAATAGGAAGATAGGCTATATCCTCCCATACCCCAGGAGATTGTCTCCTATACCAAGGGGTTACATCCCACTTTTGCAAGTGATTTAGCAAGGGCAAAGGTAAATAAATACCTGCCCCACTAATGAGGAAGAGACCACTGCTACTCTGCTTTACTGCCTCCTGCCCCTCTCATGGACCCTTGTGTTTGAAAATAAAACTTTTGGTGGGAAGGGCATATTTCTACTGCCACGCTGCAGCAGGCATTGGGGACTAATTTAGATTCATGTGGAGACCTTGAGGTAAGGACATAAAGATGGCAGGGCTGGCCTGAGGCTATCCAGTAGTAGTGGACACATTCAGCTGATACCTTGGTTAAGACCTGCGGTGAGCTTGCCTGGTCTGCCAGAAAGCAAAGGGGTGTCGTCCAATGTCCAGCTCATGCTACAAACCCAGGGAAGTGCCCAGTTCAGGACATGGAAGGCAAATGGACAATGAATTTCCTTCCCCAGACTTCTCCTACACTCAAAGAGTGAACCCTCTCATCGATACACCTCCAACTGCAGGTCCACAGCCTAGCCAGGGCCCTTCAACCGACAGTAGCTTATGGCCAGGTCGAACACTCTCCAGTACCAGCCAGCCCCAGGCCTTGCCCTTCTAAGTTCAAACCCAGGACAGGTGCTAGGAAGGAGGTGCATAACCTCACAGGAGATAGAAAAAGCACTTGTGAGATATGGAAGGCAGAAGCTGCTACGTCGTTCTTCAGAGGGATAGACAGGGATCAGGCCAACTCTGGAGGCATACAAAGTATCTATGCCCGTATAGGGTGTGTGGATGTAAAAATTTAAAATCACAGTGTTCCATGTCTTTGATGGCCCATGGCACTTGGACCTGTGCCCTTACTCATGTGTTTAATTCTTGACCAGACCCTCTGAACTCTGGACTCTCATTGTCGCTCTAGTGCAATCTAATGATGGCTGAGATTTGATCTTTACTGAATGCTTTTAACAGACCTCTGACACTTGAATGAATCTCCACCTGCAGATAAGATAATGCAACTGAGGACCAGAAAGGATAGTACCTCATTAAAAGTCAGCTGCAAGCCTGACCTAAATGCAAAAAGATGCAACCTGGTTCTAGGCTGTCCCTGTCTACAAGGAACACTGCTTTTCCCAGGAACCAAGGGGTTCATAGAGGACCACACAGGCGGGGACAGACAAGGGCTCTCAGCTCAGCCATTTCTTCACAGACACATGGCACCACACTATACCAGCAACAGGACTAGTCAGTCAGGACTTCACCCAGAGGCTGGCTGTATCATATTCAGCTGGAAGGAAGTCATATGTCCGGCATGTTCTGGGGCAAGATCTTATGATCTTAACCAAAAGCCCTATGTGATGAAATCAGTAGCCTTGTTTTCTACATGTGAACACTGTAGAAATGAGATGGCTTCTTCTTTAACCTTGAAACTGGAAGTCAAATCTCCTAATGCTAGCCTTCTCCAGACCACAGTAGCCTTCATGATACTAAACTTCTCTTTTTTTAGAGAGGATCAGAGAGGAGGGGAGGGGGTGAGGCATGTGAGATGGGGTGGGGAGGAGAGAGAGAGGGAGGGAGGGAGGGTGGAGGAGATAGAGAAAAATTGAGGGGAGTTAAAGAACTTCCAGTTCCAGATCAACCTGTGCATAACCCAAGTTTCCTACCATGAACAGAATAAAACTCTTAAACTCTACAACAGAGTTGGACCTCTTGTAGAAAAATGATGAACTTGTGTGTACGTGCAGAGGAAAGTTGGGGACACTGCCCAGAAGTGGGCGGCAGGAAAGCAGTGGACCTCTGTATCAATATTTGCTGTTTCCAAATGTTGCCCAATTTATACAGAAGCAGAGCAAACAAAGAACCTCTGTCTGCTTCAAGCAGCCCCCGCTTTCCCTCCCCTACCTTGTCCTCAGTCTGACACCAGAGCTTTCTCTGAAATCCCAGTCTGGGTCGCTGTTGGGAGGGAGCAAGATGGCAGCCTGAGATCCTATAAGGATGGTCACCCTGCAGGCCTCCAGGGGACGATGGTTGTGGCGTAGTGTGTGTCCAACAGGTGGGAAGTGGGGCAGGGTCCCTTAGCACAATGTCAAGCATTTTAAAATGGCTTCTGACACCACTAGTCCCTCGCACTCCCCAGAAGTCCTTGGATAATGGAGGATTCTCAACGCTTCCACTCTTTTCACAACAGAGTCCATAAAAATGTGCTTCTTATGTAGAATAATAATCTATAGCACAGTGGGATGAATTCTATCAAACATTTATGAGCTATACCAATCTTCACGTACACCTTCAGGGAACATAAAAGTAGGAACAATCCCTGGTGAATGTTTTGAGAACATTGTGTGTTTGGAAAGGAAAAATCAACAGAGACATCATGACCAACCTAAAAAATCTCTTATTTACACAGATGCAAAAGAATTATGCAAAAAAAATTAGCAAATGGAATCCAACAAAACCTTATGATTACCCATCTGGGTTTATTCCAGGAATGCAAATTATCTTTTGAGATGGTGTACGTTATGGATTAGGAACTGGTGGTCAACTTAACACCAGCTGGATTACATCTGCATGACACTGAATGTAGATGTTCCACCTGAGGAAAGTTGCCAGCATAAATAGAGACTTGGAGAAGGAGAAGCTATTCCATTGAGGTGTTGAAGCGTTACTGCATTGAGATGTTGAGGTACTGTGGGTTCTCCTATGTGTGGCTGTTTGAGCTGTTGGTTCTCCAGAGGGAAAGACATGTGCAGCTTGGTCTCCAGGATGAACTTGTCACGCTGGCTTCCTGGCATGTACTCGACTGTGCTTGCTGTTGGAGGAGCTCTGGGCCTCCATGTGGCTGAGGATGGCTATGGTACTTTTCAGGACAGCCCTGGTCTTTGTTGTGAATGTGGCTTCTCGGCTCCAGCATAGAATCCTCATCCCATCAGCACAGCTCCTTCACTCTGCTGGCATGGGCTTTCTGGCTTCCACCACTGACCTTTGGGTCTTTCCGGCATGGATCCGTAAAAGAGACTCCTGTGAGCCCTTCTTGTGGACTCTGGACCTCTAGTTGGACTCATGGGAGGCATTGTCATGAGCTCTGGGTCTTCATCTGGACTCACATGGCACATTGCTGTGAGATTTGGGCCCTTGACTAAGTATTCTGGTCTTTGGTGTTGTGGATAGATTTCCTGCAGTTTCTTGTGTTAACTCTGGGTGACCATCATAAAACAATATTATAAACTCCATGTCCTGATACTAATTGTTCTCTGCACAACCCCTGACTACAATAGTGTACCTCTCAGGTTGATTGCATTATTAGAGGATAAGAACATCATTTCATAAAATTCAACATCCATTCATAAAAAAGCCTTGTAGCAAACCTGTTCCTTAAGTACATAAAGCGTATTTGTAGATGATAAAAACTTACATAAATCATACTTAGTGGTGAAATGTTGAATGAAGCTTTCTCTTTGAATTCAGGAACAGTATTAGTTAACATTATAACTGGAGTTTCTCTCCAGTCCAATCAGAGGGAAAACAAGTTGTAAGTAAAAGGAACAAATTTTGCAAATGATATAAATGCATATGTAGAGATTGCTTTTGCAAATGATATAATTATACATGAAGAGAATCTAAAACAATGATTTTACTTTATTAAGAAACAAGAGTGGGCTGGGGATTTAGCTCAGCGGCATAAGCACCTGCCTTGCAAGCAG